TGCCAGCCAGTTCTCTTTCGGTCCGCACCGACTGCGCTCGTCGCTCGTCTTGTAGGAGTTGTTGAGCCTTATCACATTTGGGAAAAACTTCCTTGGTTTAGCGCTCTCGTTCGTTCCTGTCTGTACATAAAAAGTTGTCTCTAATGTGAGTGTGTTTGCCAATAGTTTGTTGTGTTGGATTACCAAAAACCAATCCACCCATTTTATTGTTTTAATATAAATTATCGAGAGTATCTGCACAGAAAAAGTCTTCGTGAACCTGATTTTGTGTTCTTTAAAAGTCCTTAGAAATTATTCACCTACTATTTACTTTGTTACCTCTTGAGAAAATCCTCACAACTTTTCATTTTTCGTGTTGCGCCACATTGCGCTGTGTTGCGCCATCCCTTGGGCACCCTTGGGCCACCCCGTGGAAGTACCCCTTGCCCCGAGAGACATTTGGGCTGCGAGCTTTGGCAACATGGCAGTGCTCGCCATTCCCTCCCCCCCTCTCTTTCCTCCACCCCACCCACCGAATCTTCTTCCCACGTTGCCACATTTGCGTCGGCGTTACTCCGTGCTGGAATAAGAACACCACTTCTAGGGATTTCTTCTCAACAATCACGTTTGCCACTTAGGCAGACAAAATTTAGTTGTTCGGTCCCACCTTTTGCGATATTTTGATTATTTTACTATCTTCATGAAGCAGCTGTCATGTGCTGGCCGGCCAGTCGTTGCTAGGATACCACATTCTAAATAATGTAATGTAGTAGTCGCCAAACCAGTGACCACACGCGGATGCGCGTCTCCGTCTCTCGAACTTCTATTTAATTGTAGCATTGTGTGATCCGTGTGATCTATCAATTAAGAGTTATTTTAAATGTTGTTGAGTAAACATACAGTGAGTCATCACAGTTCTCAACTCTACTTTCATTCTAGCTACTTAATCCTGACAATTTCTTTATTTTGGATATGGTTTAGTTGTCTTTCATTATTATCTCTTTATTTCACACGGTTCAGCCTAGGTAGCAGAGCTGCATAAAATGTGCATTTCGTGTCCAATCTAAACGTGTGTAGGCGCCTAATATGCACTTCAATGCGCGTTTCAGATGGGACATATAATGCGGTTCGAATGCAGTTTGATATATTTTGCTACCTGGGAGACGCGCCGATTTTCATTTAGTGGATATGTTCTAGTTGAAAACCAATCAGAGGCCTCGAAAACCCATTAGAACGTATCCTACAAATGACAATTCTAGCCTTGCTTATGGGTCCCACCTATGAAGTATAATAATCTGAAGCAGTAATTGTTTGGAAGTAATTTGACCTCTTTCTTTTCTCTTTTGTTACAGTTTGATGACAAAGTTTTCCAAAAAACTTGTGAGCAAGTGTATATATGTGCTCATATTGAAGAACACGAAGACAGAGCTAATTGGCATGTGAGTTCCGTTTGTTTCTGTTTTTTTTTTCCCTGTTTGTTTGTTTGTTTGTTGTTGTTGTTGTTGTCATCATTGTAGGTTTGAGCGACCTGCCATTTGAATGTTCTTGATGATTTTTCTGTGTTTCAGGTTCATGAGTGAAGGGGGATGGGCTCTGACAAACTCATGGCTAGCTGACGCCATTGAAGCTCGCAACTGGCCCTTGATGAAGGAATTACTTGAACTTCTTCTAATGTGCCCTGTGGATGTGGAGCGACTCAAGCTTAACAACTGTCCAAAACTTGTGAAAGGATTATCAAAAGACACAACTGACAGAGGCAAGTTAATTTATCTTCATTAAAAAAAAAATCAATTAAAGAAATATTTAAATCTAACTCAATCAGTATTATTGTTTGTTTAATTTTGCTACTCATCCTAATGAAATTTTGTTGTATTACCTTCCAGATGTACAGCTGTTGGCCTCTCGCCTCGTTGCACAGTGGCTGCATGTGGTCAAGTATCCTGGATCTGTGATTCCTCAGCCATCTATTGATGTTTCTCATCTAAACCTTGAACCTCATCACGGGTTGGAGATGGGACCCCAAACTACTCAACTCCAGATGCTGCAGGAATCAAGAGAAGATAATTTTTTCCCCTCTGACATCAATATGCATTCAGACATTAGTAGTGACCTTTTTTGTGACCCCGGTGATATCAATCTGGACACCATCTCTAAAGAGGACTTGTTCCCTGCTAGTGACAACTTATGTGAATTTAGGAGTGATAATAGTTCGTTAATTGGCAGTGGAACTGATCTTAGTAATGTAGTTAGTGAAATCCCAAGTGAATTAATAGTGAATGAAATTAGAAATGACGTTTTATCAGAAATGAACTGTAATACTGTTTTGGGGTCTCTAAGTGAAATGACTACTGAAACAGTGCCTCAATTTGAACCAAACTTAATGGACACTACTGAAAGTGGAGATATTACTAATGGTGAACCACAAGAAAAGCTCATCTTGAAACTAAATTTTAAGGATGCTAAGAAGGTTTTGAAGTCACCTACAAAGAGGAAGTTAAGTGAGGATGAAGAGGATGTATCTCCCTCCAAGCGAAAATCAAGAGAAGTTACAAAAGACAAGAAAAAAATTGATAAGGATAAGTCTGACAAAGAAAAATCAGATAAACCTTCACTTAAACATGACAAGTCAGATAAGACAGAAATTAAAAAGTCATCAGATAAGAAAAGTAGCTCTTCAAGGGATTCACATAGAAGTGATTCTAAAAGCAAACACCATCATTCCGATAAATCTAAAGATAAAGTGCGTGACAAAGACAGAGAAAAGTCAAAATCATCATCCTCATCCTCAAAAGACAAGGATAAAGAAAAAGAGAGAGCAAAGCTGAAGGAGAAGGAACGCTTAAAACAAAGAGAGAAAGAGAGAGCTGAATCACAAGCTGAAAAAGACAAAGCAACTCTAGCGAAAGTAATGCAAACCTCCATCAGTAAACTTGGAAAAATTCCCAAGAAAACTGACGGTGCCTCTAAGCCAGACAAAGTTCACCCACCAGTCCTGGCGGAAACAAAGAAGATCTCAATTTCTATTGAGAATAGGAAGAAATCTGGAGAACCTCGTCCTAACACTGTCAAGACTGCTCCCACCAAGTTCCGGTCTACAGGTTTAGAAGAAGTGGTGAAACCTCCACCATCCAGAAAAGATGTTAAGAAAAATACCTCAAGTGTTGGACCTGTTCTTCCCACAGTTAAGGACCCGTCTCCACTCCTGAGTTTACCATCACTACCAGAGAAGCGCACCAAGCCTGTCCTGAACCTGGCAGGTCCTCCGGAACGTCCTGGGGCTATAAAAGTCATCCCTGCCAAACCTAAAGGTGAGTGTCACCCACTTTTGATGGGGGAAATCTACTATAATTATCTAGTCAAACTAAATTTTGTTGCAACATCAGCTCACTTTTCGAGTAAAACTTCTTTGGTACTATTGAATCGTGTTGAGAAATGAGTTCTGGTCTTTACACTTAATTTCTTTTTTTTTTTTCCTGTTTTATCTGAATTTAATTTAATTTATCTTATGCTACTTGTTTTGCCAGCACATTACCCTCTCCTGCCCATCTGTATATTTTTGTAATTCATGATTAATCATGTGAGTTTTTTTAAGGAGCAGCGTCTTCAAGAGCCTGCCTCAGCCGCCATCAATTCTTTTATATTTTAGTGTCTTGTGAGTGCTGCTAGTCTGGGTACATTTAAGTGTTATGGCAAATGCAAAACTGTGTGCACTTTCCATACACTTTGTGGACCTCTTAGCACACCCACTTGCAAGCCAAGATGGAAAATTATGGATCCTTTGTCTACTCAACATTCTCAAGGTAAGTTGGGCCCTGCTCCTATATCCAAGACACACATAACTGCCATCAACAGACATGTTCATGTTACTCTTTTCATGTAACCATACAGTAGAGTAATTCCCATTGAAATTACATTTTACTAACTATATTTTAAAACATGAGACACACACACACTTCTTTTAGTAATTGAGAAGTGAGTCATAAAAGTCCCAGTATTTTTGCATGAACAGTACAAACAGTAATGTAAGAGCTGGAGTACAGTACCAGCACACAACTCTCTTTAGGTGGAATGGGTGCTGAGTTGTTCACACAACTGTGGGGCTTTTCTTTCCCCCCTTAAAATATATATTCAACCCATCATTGCGTTTGACAAGACCTTGACATCAGCTGCTTGGGAAGTCTAAAACATGTACTTGGTAAGTACAAATAAAGTCACACATCTGTGTTGTAGGCCCTACTGAGAATAAATAAAAACTGTGAGTGCTTGAGAGTTCTATAATAATAACCTGGGAGCAAAGTAAGGAGTCCGATATGTTCGGACCAGACTTTTCTTTCTCTGAATTAATGATTAAAATAATATATAGGATTGATCACTTGGTCATGAACTCTCTAGAAAACAGTGGGACATGGACAACAATAAACACATTGGAAAATGATAGGACGGACCTGAAGGCACATGGGGAATCTAGTGCACCAATTACTTTTGCTGAGCTCTTACCTCAAGGAGTTTAGTTGTATGGCAGTGAACTCAAGTGCATCTTCATGAGGCAAAATGCCCTAGCCTAGGCCCGCGCGCGCCAGCGATGCCGGTCGTGCCGCCAGCTGCAGTACAGTACTAGCTGACGAATGGGGGGGGGGGGGGGGGCTGTTTATCATTGAAGCGCTAGGGAAGGAACAATCGGTACACATTTAATTAACGTAGAGTGGGGTTGTCAAGATTTTTATTATGAAACATTGTAAAGCTACGTCCACGTTGCTTTCCCCTCATGAATGCTAAAATTGACATTTCACCAAAAAAATAAACTTTTGGTCAATAATTATTGCAATTTTTGATTCAACCAGTATTACTATTAAGTAAAGCGATGACTTTTATTTTCATTCTACGGTTCCAAAGTCCGTGGACGTGGCTCTTCTCTATGTAAGTCGTCGCTTTACAATAAACAACAATTGAACGTGAAATTGAGTGTTATTTGCCTCCCACTGTGTACCCTGCGCACTCTCTTTTGCGTTTGTGGTTCGGATGGCAATATAATTTTTTGCCGACTACGCTGTGTGGAAGATACGTTATATATATATTTATATATTTATTTGCTAAGTCTCTGAAATAAACGTTGACTGGCATGAAACTGGCATAAGTAAACACCCCACATCAGCTGCGTGTCAGAGGAGTCCAAGATTGCGAGGAGCTCGACTCCTCATCGCGTCACTAGGCCGAGCCGCCAGCCGCTGCACCATGGCCTGCGCCGCGGGTCGCGGCCTGGCTCGAGGCCTTTGGGGCGGGGCGGGGGCACGAGCGCTGTAGACAAGCGCGCGGGGGCCGCCGCTGGGGTGGGGTGCTGCTGGTCGAGCCGCGGTGCGGCGCGGCGCCTCCTGCACCGAGCGCTGCTTTGCGTGCCAGAGCTTCGACGGGCCAGCGGAGCGACCTCCACTTCATGGCGCTGCAGCGGGCGGACCGACGCCTAACACTTGAAGACTGCCCTCTCCTACCCCGAACCCTCATCACGTTGGGTCCTTTCGTCCAGTGCGGGGGTGGTGCTCGGCACAAGGTGCTCGGCTCAAGGTGGTACATCCACTTGGCGACCGTTGCTTTACACCTGGCTCCGTGACCCCTCCAGCTACTATTAGATTATGCACAGCCAGTGGCTTGCTGTCTTCAAGTTTTCTAAAACTGCCCCATCATAAATTGCAAGGATTCGAGTGAAATCGATCGCACTGCGCCCCACGCAAGCAATATTTATTTAGAAAGAAATTGAGCGGGTACACTGTAAAGACAATTATTCGGATTAACCGAAAATGACATCCCAAATTGAAAATACTTTTGCTCGTCCTATTGTTTTGAACATCACTTGCAGCTCCCACCATTACTCGCGCTCTTGAGCGAAGAATATCTTCGGGGTATCATGTAAATCAGTTAAGCTACCTCTGTGGATTTTCCATGGTGATTCGTATAGCTTAAATAATAGAATTCCTCGCAAAATTTTTGACACGGTAATTTTTAATGTGAACATGGTCACAGCTGAAATTAAGTTTGCATCTTGACAAAATTCTTTTGTATTGAAATTTGACTCGTTTAAAGTAATTTTCAAGTTGCGCATTGTGTATTCTTGTAGTGTTGCGAAATCGAAGCAAGATTCAGGCTCTCAGCTTCCAAGATAAACCTTGGTTTTACGAGCTTAGATCAACTCAGTAACAGCGTAGTGACCACACTGTGGCCACGCTCGTTCAAAGGCGGAACTCCGCGCAAATCGTTCCGCCGTACTGGTGTGAGAGCTCACTGCCCCGAACACTTTCAATTTAGTCTGGTTTATATACAATTTCGTCCAAGACGTATTTATTTGTAGTTAACAGCAATAAGTTATGTAATGGTTTCTAACGGGCCATTGTGGCTGATTAGCCCTCGTTAAAGTTGATATTTTTTAAGACAACATTCAATCGACGTATTAGTTACGGAACACCAATCTTAATTTTTATAATTTGATTTTTTTTTTTTTTTTTTTTTTGCAATACAGTGCCTATTCATCCATACATACACATCACTTTTCGAGGTTTCAGTTTAGTTGCCCCGTATTACTCGAGAGTCACGTACAGAGATGTTCATGCACCACCGAGCAAAAACCTGTCGTTAATATTCTCTTTTTCTGCTTTGTTCCAGGTCATGGCTGCTGTTGGCGCTTAGTATTAAGGAATTCCCTCCCCCCCCCCACTTTTCCTATATGTGCTGGCAAAATAATTTAAGACGATCAATCTGTACTCACTGTCATTCTTCATTTGTGAACTCCGCGCCATTGCTTACGTTCTGTTAAATTTTAATGTTTCCAGCCCCCGTTATCCAGGAGAGCGACTTCTTCATGGATGCACTGACGGCGGCGAACACCGTGAAGCGCGAGCCGCGCAAGAGAAAGAGGCGGACGAGTGGCAGCAAGGACGACTCGAAGGACGAGCCCACCAGCCCTACAGGTGCTGCGCCCGGCAGCGCGGCTGAGGACGCCCCCGGCTCCGGCACCCCTACTGCATCGCCGTGCTCGTCCCCAGAGCGCGCCGAGCGGCCCGCGGCCGAGGCCAAACCCGTCTTCAAGGTATGTCAAACTCCTGTCTGTTATTTTTCGAGATCAAGGATTGTGATTTTTGAAGGAAAAAAAATTGTTTTTTCTTTAGTTTTACCAGGAGACACTACAGCTAAACGACGAAACCAAGCAGGAGGAGGGGGAAGGCGAAGATGAAGAGGCTGAGAAGGAACCAGAGAGTAAAGTGAAATGCAAAGAAGAGGTTTCGGACGAAACTCAAGTCAAGGAGGAAGACGGAAAGGACGAAACTGTCGTTAAAGAAAAGAAAATTAAAGGTGGGTAGCGGATTTTTTTTTTTTTTTTTTTCGTTTTGGAGACTTTTCAAAACAGGACTTTTGACTTACTTTTTCTATCGTTTTCTAGTTGAAGGTGGATCAACAGACGACCCCGCGACAGAGGAGGACAACGCACTGATGGAGCGTGAGCGAAATCGACTGCCCCGGGGAGTCCTTGTATTCCACCGGCCGAGCCAAAGGCAGCGCAAGTCCCTCAAGTGGAAGGCGGACTCGGACCTCGAGTCCGTGCACTACTTCGAGCTGGACGAGACGGAGCGCGTCAATGTGACGAAGACGTCGTTCATGGACATGAAGCAGATGGAGCGCGTTCATGAACGTGAAAACTTCCACCTCACCAGACGCATGAGTGGCGAGGATCAGATGAAGGAGCACACCATCTATTCGAGACTCATCCCTATCGACCTGGCCCCCTCGGATGTGGTGCCGGGCTTCAAGTCAAGGGAAAAGGAAGTGCAGTTCGCACGCGAGAAGATGATCACAGCGTCGCCCATCTTCCAGAAGACCCTCGGGTATGTTTTGTCAGATGTGGTATTTACAGGGTGGAGGCCCCAATCGCGCCTTGCGGCTCTGAGCGCACAGGCAAAACCCGCATGCACGCGGAGTAGTCTCTATCCATGGCATAAGTTGAAAACAATGTTGCACCAATACCTAACACTCTTGTCCATCCGTGCTCCTCAGGTGTCCGGACTCGGCTGCCGAACCTGACCCTGTGCCGTCCTTCACGCCCACCGACCCCGTGAGGATCCCACTGGAGGATGTGACGGGACCCAACAGCATCTACGACTACACCAACACGGCGTGGCCGGAGCCCAAGCCGACGCTCATCCCGCAGTCGCCGCCGCACTCCCACACCATCTCCCATGTGCCGAGTGGCAACCCGCACCCTGGACCTCTGCTGCAGACGCCCGTCGGCGGACCCATGGGCTACAACAGCGTGGGGGGAGACTGGAGGGTGTGTATTCGCGCTATAGAATCCTCTTGAATTTATTGTGTCAACTTTGAACTTTTCCATAATTTTTTTCTTTGTTTTCTGATTCAGACTGGCGATGGCAAGGTAGTCATGGCAGATGTAGGCATCGGTATAGGCCCTGGACTTGGAGGAATGGGCCCGGGAATGATGGGTGGAATGGGCCCGGTATTAGATGGAGGGATGGGCCCTGGGATGGGCCCGGGAATGGGCCCTGGGATGGGCCCCAATATGGGCCCAGGGATGGGCCCCAACATGGGTATGGGTATGGACATGTACAACAATCAAAATGGCATGGACGGTCCATGGAATACTGAAATGAATTATGGTATGATGGGTGGACCTGGTGATATGTACCAAATGGATCAAGGAAATTTCGACATGTACCCTGGACAAGGATTCGGTGGAAACCCAGGCGGACCGAGCTTCAACAGAGGAAGAGGCCGAGGCTGGTATCGTGGAGGCTCTGGAGACAGTTGGAGAGGAAGTGGAGGAGTAGGAGGAAGAGGTATGCCTTTAAAAAGTTCTTAAGTGTTCCACAAATTTCTTTTCATTTCTACTCCCTGTTATCTGATTTTTACAATTTCTAATGTTTTGTATTCTTTTTTTTAATCAGGAAGAGGGAGCTGGTCTGGCCCTGGTGGTCCCCCTTCAAAGAGAATCTGCAGATATTTTAAGAGGGGAAACTGTGCTACAAACAATTGTCAATTTTTACATCCACCTGAATTGAAAGGAGTTTCATCTCGTCATTAGTGCCTCATCAAGTCATACTCACTGCCATCTTGTACATTCTTGTTAATATAGTGGTGCTATTTATTAATTTTGAATATTCGTACATGAACTGTTATAGATACCAAAGCTTTAATTTGAAAAAGCTGTTAATGCCTGTTTTGTTTGTTTTCTTATTTTTAAAGCATGTATTGTTACATATATTTTGAGCATTATTAAGTGACATTGTACACCAGAGTAAGGTCTGGTCTGTGATATTTGTATAGGATTTCTAGATTATAATTGAAATCATAAATGAAATATTGAAACCTATGTTTTTAAATTTGTTTTCGTTGTGTGCCCCCCCTCCCCCTCCTCACTTTAAAGCACAATTTAAAGGAATACAGAATTTAATCATGTATTTTCAATCTGTGTGCGGGGGGAAACTAGACCATTATCTTCTAGTAGACAGAAAGCATTCCTTTGCCCCCTTCAGAGCAGGTACATATCTTAAAGTGCGTTACTTCTATTAGTACACCACATACGTAACTAGACTACTCTGCAAATCTGGGGTGTCGAGTGTCTAGCAGCTGCGCCATTTCAGTCACTAGTGTGAGAACCACCTGAATGTGCACAATATACACAATACACAAGCATTTTCTTTTGTGCAAAGTAAATGAAGCAATCCCTACAGTCAGAGCAGGTTATACTTTCCCTCTCCCCCTCTTGCCAACTCGTGCTGTTCGCTCCTTCGGCAGCGTTCGCTACCCACATGAGAAAGGTTTTCTCAAGCTACCCAACCCTTCAGACACCCTTCTGGTTTGCAAGCTTTTTGTGCAAGTTTGGCTCCAAGAGTAGGCATTCCGAACTTCCCTCTTGGGTATCGCCAAGATGTCGAGAGATCGAGAGTTAAGCCACGGATCGATGTTGATCGATACGACAACAAAACCTTACTTATATTTTGTCGGCTTAGACAATCATGCGAAATATTTCTTTTTTTTGTAACTATTAATTAATAATGACTGGCATCATTTGAAAACTGATCAGTAGTAATCGTGGAAATATCATTCGCTGTATTCTGATTCAAAATTTGAAACAAAATGACGTCGAAGAGAAAACCCGAATCCCAAGTACCGGCAGAAGAAAGTGATCTTCTTCAAGTTCGGCCGCTGTTAGTACATATTTCTTTGTTTATAGTTCTTATTCATGTGACTCAAGTTATTCCCATTTCTTATGGTATAATAAATTGCTTGATGTTATTACATCAAATTTGAATAGGTTATGTACCTGTGTACACTTTTTTTATGCCCTATATAAGTTTGTTGTCAGTGTAATCAATGAAAACTTATTGTTTAATTTTGTTGTTTGTCTTTTCCTCTAGTGGAGCTGGCCAGGAAGTCGGTAGATCATGCATAATGCTCGAGTTCAAGGGCAAGAAAATAATGGTTGGTACATTTTGTTGTCTGAGTACCTTACGGTCGAATTAATGCTAGTGGTGAGAACAGGGTGAGGGGGAAGTGGAAGAGGACCTTACGAGTATTTTTTTTAACGCCAGTGGCAGAACTACACTTGCTGCGTTGCTATCGTAAATCCACCTTAAGTCATGGTTTGAACTCTCTTGCAACATATTCTTTCTTTTTACAGTTAGATTGTGGAATACATCCTGGATTATCAGGGATGGATGCTCTTCCTTTTGTTGATTTAATTGAAGCAGATGAAATAGATTTACTACTTATCTCACAGTGAGTAAAGGTTCTGTTCCTAAGAACAAAGGGCTGTTAACTTTTTATGTACTTTAAATTTACATTGTGAATTTGCTTCTCAGCTTTCATTTGGACCACAGTGGTGCCCTGCCGTGGTTTCTCATGAAGACCAGTTTTAAAGGGAGATGTTTTATGACTCATGCCACTAAAGCCATTTACCGCTGGCTCCTTTCAGACTACATAAAAGTTAGGTGAGGAATCATATTTTGACATTTAAACATCCTCTCTTGTATAGTTTTTTTTTCTAAATTAGTTTCCCCTTTTTTTAGCAATATTGCTACTGAGCAGATGTTGTATACTGAAGCAGATCTGGAAGCAAGTATGGACAAAATTGAGGTTTTGAATTTCCATGAAGAAAAGGATGTTATGGGAATAAAATTCTGGGCCTATAATGCAGGTCATGTTCTCGGAGCTGCTATGTTCATGTTAGAAATTGCTGGTGTGAAGGTATGCTCTATGAATAAACTGCTGTCTTGCATGATTGCCTTACCGTGGAATGAAAATTAATCTGAGCTGTCTTGTAAGATACTGTACACAGGAGACTTTTCTCGTCAAGAGGATAGACATTTGATGGCTGCAGAAATTCCTAATGTCCATCCTGATGTCCTAATAACTGTAAGTTTTTGATTGTGTCAAGTTTTACCATTGAATTATGTTGTAAACATGCAACTTTTTGACTCAAGGAATCCACTTATGGAACCCACATCCATGAAAAAAGGGAAGAAAGAGAAGGAAGATTCACATCACTTGTTCACGACATTGTTAATAGAGGGGGTCGCTGTTTGATACCTGTTTTTGCTCTTGGAAGAGCTCAAGAACTTTTGTTAATTTTAGGTAATTATTGGCTGCACATCTGTGTAACTCAACAATTGCTCAATTGCTCTTCAGGGCATCATTTAAGTTTGTTTAAAAACTATAGCGAAGTTCTCTTATATTTTTTTAGATGAGTATTGGAGTCAGCATCCAGAGCTGCATGACATACCAATTTACTACGCTTCCTCATTGGCAAAAAAATGCATGGCTGTGTATCAGACATACATAAATGCTATGAATGATAAAATTCGTCGACAAATAGCGATCAAAAATCCGTTTGTATTCCAGCATATATCCAATCTTAAGGTCTAATAGCTTTTTTTCTTCTTTTTTTAAATAGTTTTTTTTAAATGCATCTATTAGATTTGAACGGTTATTTGTGTTTTAATCACAGGGTATTGACCATTTTGAGGACATTGGTCCTTGTGTTGTAATGGCCTCTCCTGGTATGATGCAGAGTGGATTGTCACGTGAGCTCTTTGAGTCATGGTGCACAGACAGTAAGAATGGAGTTATCATTGCGGGTTATTGTGTTGAAGGAACATTAGCTAAGACGATCCTGTCTGAACCTGAAGAAATAACTACTATGACTGGCCAGAAGTTACCTCTTAAAATGTCTGTAGATTATATATCATTCTCAGCTCACACTGACTACCAACAGACAAGTGAGTTCATCAGAGCATTAAAACCTCCTCATGTGGTTTTAGTTCATGGTGAACAGAATGAAATGAGTCGTTTGAAGGCTGCCTTACAGCGTGAATATGAGGATGACCCAAACACTAAAATGGAAATTCACAACCCCAGAAATACAGTAGCTGTAGAGCTGTATTTTAGAGGAGAGAAAACAGCAAAGGTGACATATTTGAATTTTTTAATCTAGGTTTTTATCTTTTTATAACAAGTTAAAAATAGTTACTATGAGTTCATACTTCCAATTATTTTGTTCAAATTTGTTTTTTTGTATCTCAGGTTATGGGTACTCTTGCAGTAGAAGAGCCAAAACCAGGAAAAAAACTGTCTGGTGTGCTAGTTAAGAGAAATTTCAACTATCATATGTTATCTCCTGCTGATGTTCAAAAATATACAGACATGAGAATGAGTACAGTCACACAGAGACAATCTATACATTATTCAGGATCTGTTCCTCTTCTTAAGCATCTGTTGGCACAAATTGCAGGAACTGTAGAACCAATTGATGAACATAAGGTTCGAGTGTTTAATTGTATTGATGTAAATGTAGAGAATAAAATCGTGACTATGGAGGTGAATATTAATCTTGACCAACTTTTAATTCTGTGATGGAATACTTACTCTAATCTGTCTCTTATGGTATTTTTAGTGGTCTGCAACTCCAGTGAATGACATGTATGCTGACTCTGTTCTAACTGCAATACTGCAAGCAGAAAATTTGGACTCTTCACAAAAAATTTATCCCACTGCTACAAAAATGGATCGCATGCACTTTAAGGTTTGTTTACAAAAATATAATGTTTGAAACATCTGGAAAGTTTATTAATTGATGATACTTCTTTTTCTGTACTAGGAATGTCTAATTGAGATGCTGCAGGATATGTTCGGAGAAGATTCAGTTCCCAAAATTTTTAAGGGAGAAAAATTATATGTTAGTGTGGATGGCAAAAAGGCTAACATTGATTTAGTAAATTTGGTAAGCTTCACATCAATTAACATTTATTAGAAAATTGGCAATATACAATGGTAAGAAAAAACGTTTTTGAGATTTACTGGTTATTTATTTTCAGGAAGTTATTTGTGAGGATGATGACACATTCCAGCAGATTATTCAAACAGCCGTTACCAAGCTCCATCAATCTCTTGCACCACCTCATATGTAATTACTCTGCCAATCTTAAAAATTCAATAAAATTAACTGTTCTTGTACCGACATATTTTTATTCTCTGATAATTTACAACATATCATAATACATCAGAACTGCTTTTGTGAAATGCTCATACTCAACTGAGCCAATGGCACATCCTATTGAAAAAAGTATATGGAATTTTCCATGGTGATTCATCAATAATTGGTCAAGTAGTTGTACAGTATCACTCTGCCTGTTAGAAACCGTGACATATTGCCGATTTTGGAATGTGGTGCACGAAGCAGAGGGAACTTTGTGTTTAAAAGGCTAATTAACATGACACTGAACGCTAATTAGCATCAGAAACCCAGGCTTTATCAGCTTAAGGATCTTAACATCTTAACATCTTAACATGTTAACATATTAACAAGTGCATTTTGCATTATATTCGATAGTAAGACTATGGTTTTACATTTGAATGTCTTTATATTCGCTAAAATGCCGACCAAA